TACCAGTACGTACACAAACCAATGCACTTTGTTTTTGCCAAAAATTATTCCGACAACAGTCACGAAAGATCATCAAATACCGGTGTCTGAACTTTATTTCCAAACAATGCACTTTGTTTTTGCCAAAAATTATTCCGACAACAGTGACGAAAGATCATCAAATACCGGTGTCTCAACTTTATTTCCAAAAATGTAAACATCGGTCCAACTTGACTTACTAAGTGTTTATTTTCAAACCACCCATCCAAAAAAATAACTCTTGCATGCGTATAGCATGCCTATGTTTTCAGGTATAGTGGAGTTGTTAAAAATTACCAAGCGAAATTAAAGTAATCCGTGACTTTCTTCCTTTAGGTGTTGTGCAAAAATAGATGAGGAGCCCGATGAATGGATTTGTCTTTCGTGTGAACAGTTTTTCCAGAAAGTCAATGTTCCACGAAGAAAACTCCCTCGATTGCGGCCAAGCCACATTTCTCCAGCAGAGCATGCTGCAAATTAAAAATATCAGTCGGAGCGTCACGTAACATTGCGTGATTTTCGAAACGTGACATGCAGTTGCCGCATTATTTTAAAACTTAGACACTACGAGGCCCCGTTTAAAAATTATTTTAGCCAAAACGAAAAAGACATCAATAAACTCATGAGTCGGAGCCATTCCTGTCAGCAGTGAAATACAGGAATGGCTCCAGTCTCCGATCGTTCCGCTGAACCGAGCCTAGACTGACCAAATGAGTTTAGTCAGAGAAACTAGTCAGCGGATAACTTAGTCATCGCCGGATCACCGCTGGACGACCTCGCAGAACTAGAAAGGCCCTCCCTTCGTCATGTGTTTAGTTGAACTTAGTCCGTGACGTTTTTCCTTTGTTCTTGTTTTTTCTTGTTGCGTTACGTTTTCTTGTTTTCGTTACTAACACGTGTTCTTATCGACGAGCTCTTGCGGCTGCAAACTCTTCCTTTTTTTGTTTAGTTCGCACAAAATGTGAGTAGGATTTCGATTTAACACTTGTTTTTAGGTATTCATTTGTTTATTCGTCCTTTTGTTTGTTTTCTTTCCCAGTTTTTCACCGTTAGGTAACCGATTTCTCGTGACATGTTCATACTATCAATTGTGATGGTCGAAAATTAAAGGAATATTACGGATAACGCGTCGAAGTTTTGTGCTATCCCCAACAATACTTC